TAACCACCCCTGTATGTGTTCAAAGACATTCCTTTCGGCATTGAAGAAGTCATCGAACAGTTTGCTGGTTTGAAAATGAAGAAAGACAATAGAGTATTGTCATTACATGAAATGACTTGATCGGAGTCTCGAATGAACACTCGTCAAAACGGGATTTTCCCAAGGAAACTCTTCTATGACTCTTTCCTATAAATTATTCCATCTAACCACATATTTAGGCACCAAACCTAACTAAAATAATACATAAACGTTATTCCTAATTTTAGAAACAGCTATTATGGTGAAGCAAGGATTGAACAATATTAAATTATATGAAATCTAATTGTCAACAACAATAAATATGCAACGAAAAATTAATTATTCAACCTGTATGTTTGATTACATTTGTTAAAGCGCAATTTACTCGAACGCGTTGCGGCCTCTCATTTGCGGAATTCAATTTGGTGCCTACACTGAATCATGGCTACGCCCCTGACAAGCATTACTTGTAAACATTAAATGAAATAAAGGTAGATGCTTTTCTAAGGCCATGACATCTTGAATTCATTAGATATTATTCAAACATTCCAAAGTGTGGTTCATAAGTCCGATTGTGAACAGGGATTCAGATCGGTTCATGTTCTGGGATACTGATTGTCATCCATGGTGTCCTAAAGTCCTAGCAAAAGTTAAAAAAAAACACGGAAATGCCCTAAAGCCATTTGACTCCAGCAAAATCCTAGTACAAGTTAATTAAAACAAGTTTTTAATATAATCATAACCAAATATAGATACAACATGTAAATAACCAACATCCTTGAAAAAGCACTGACTAGCTCAATCATCAAATACTGACAACTGCCTCAAACTTTCCTAATGATTATCTATGAAGAATTATATCAATTCAAGGTTAAATACAATTCGACACTCATTACAGTTGTATATAAATTTAATTCAGAACTATATAATTTATTCTGATACATAATTTATCAGTAACCCAGGGTAATGCATGACACAATGATACAATTACTTTGTAAGCAGGTAGTATCGTGAAATGTTATGAAGCTGGTAATAACATTCAACCTTATCCCTATAATAACATACAACTGATGTGGCAAAAGTAACATGCGATACAATTTGGCAGGGTTCTAGGAAAATATTTAATTTCACCTAAGACAGCATTTCACGAACTTCGTGTAGGATTCAAAGTCACGTTGACGTTAAAAGGGCTTTTAGAATCACATTCAGAAACGTGTATGGCCGTTGAACAGTCTGTTGTGAGTCCCATACGTCATTCGAGCAGTTGTGGCCGCCCGTCAATCTGCCAACATAAACTAGTGTCCAAAAGAAACGATACCAACTTATTTTCAAAATTGTTTTTTACTAAGTGAATTGTCAAGTATGAAAACTTGCCAATTCGTATTGCACATCCCAAACACAGCATAGTCGATAAAAAATACCGGGAACACGTGATCACTTCCGGGAAAAAACGTAAATTTCGTGAAAGTGACATTTCCCTCTCTAGCATGTTCTGCACGTGCAGAAAAAACTGTATAAAACGGCTGATCAGACACGTTGATATCACAGCAACAAAAAGAACACAAGATATGCCACGTTTGACAGCCATCGAGAGAGAGAGAGCCGTTGGAATGGTCCAACAAGGAGCGTCACACGTCGACGTCGCCAGAAGGTTGGGCTGCGCACGCATCACTATCACCAGGTTGATGCAGCGGTTACGTCAGACAGGTCAGACGTCAGACAGGCCCAGGAGTGGAAGACCACGAGTAACCACGCCCCGTGAAGATCGTTACATCCGGGTATTACACCTGAGGAACCGCACCGTAACAGCGACGTCCACGGCGGCTACAGCACTGGGACACAGGATCAGTCGACAGACCGTCTACAGGAGACTACGGCAGTATGGTATCCGGCCACGTCATCCCTACCGCGGACCGCTCCTGACGCCTCGACACCGGAACAACAGACTGATCTGGGCCAGGCGAGTTCGACGTTGGCAACGGCGGGACCTGGCACGTGTTATGTTCTCTGATGAGAGCAGATTCCTCATCTTCAGAAACGATGGACGGCAGCTTGTATACCGACGATTTGGTGAACGTTTGGTACCTAACTGTATCCAACAGGTCAGGCCGTTTGGAGGTGAAGGGTTAATGGTTTGGGGTGGCATATGTGGTGACGTCAAAACGATGCTTGTCGTAATTCGTGGAAACCTGAATGCACAGCGTTATCTTGATGACATCCTACGGCCTGTTGTGGTGCCCTTATTCAGCAGCAGCCTCGTGGACTCCTTTTCCAACATGACAATGCAAGGCCACACACAGCAAGATTGACACAGAACTTCCTTGCCAACGCCAACGTACAGGTTTTGCCATGGCCCGCATGTTCACCGGACATGAATCCCATTGAGCACTTATGGGACCACCTCGATCGGCAAATCCGACGTCGCCGTGTGCCTCCAGTCAACGTCCAGGACTTTGAACGATGTCTCCTCGAGGAATGGCAACGCATCACTCCCAACGTCATCAGACGTTTGACGTCATCAGTCCGTAGGCGTGTTCTGGCATGTATTGATGCTCACGGTGGACATACCCGCTACTGACTTGACTTTGAGACGTGTGGTGTGACATTTCCCGTTGTTTCTGTGATCAGTGCTCTAACGAAATGTTCATTTTTCGACCCCACCCATCTTTAAAGGCTTGTCATATTGGTTGTACAGATTTTATTAAAATGAAATGTTTGTACAGATGTTGTGAAAGGATTTCTCAAAAGCATAACACCAATCCTAAACTTCTGCATTGTTTAGTTTTTCTTTTATGTCGTTGCAAACAGGTGGTATCGTTTCTTTTGGACACTAGTTTACTTTTCTCTAGGAAATAGACGAACGTGTTATTGGTTGCCCGCAGGAGTCTATCGCCGATCTTGTCTACTGACGTCACACACAGTCGGCCACTCCGTAGAAGATCACCGGCAAAGTTGGTCAACTGATGATGTTCCTGAAGCCTGTAGGTTGTGGCATGCTCCGACCAGCTTTAATAAGACGATTGGCTTCATCCGGTTTTCCCGTATTAGACGGGATATGGTGTGTTTGTGTAAAACTTAAAATCATACTAAAACTAAACTAAACAGGTATGATGGCACGGTGTCCAATGAATAAGTTGAAACGTCCTTAAACCTTCTGGTAATGAAGACTGTTTCACGTTTTATGCATTTTCCAAAGAAATTCATACGATTATTGCAATTTGCGTTTAGGTGATTGTTATCATGTGAAATTTGTCTCATTTTGTCGAATTAAAATGTATTTTTTTAATTTTACATCACATTTGGTTGATGGTCGTCCATCCAACATCTTTGTATTTATTTAGGAGTTGCGTATATTATTCAAAGAGAAATATGTCCTATAGCAAGAGCGAAAGAAATTACCTGCGGAACGCCAGTGGCATTAACGTTTCTTCTCAGACTGTGCGTAATCGTCTCTGCGAGGGTCGACTCCGACCAAGGAGGACATGCATTCGCTTCCAACTGACCCGGGGGCGGTCGGGTAGCCTAGTGGTTAAGGCGTTTGCTCGTCACGCCGAATACCCGGGTTCGATTCCCGACATGGGTACAATGTGTGAAGCCCATTTCTGGTGTCCCCCGCCGTGATATTGCGGGAATATTGCTAAAAGCGGCGTAAAACCATATTCACTCACTCCAACTGACCCGACATCACAGGCAGGCCTCAACCCTATCGCACACAAGTGAGACGAGCTGCAGATCGCCCTCTCACCATGCCCTGTCCTTTGGCTACTCTTCAGGAACACGGCAATGCTCCTAATGATGAGTGGGGTTCTTTTAACAATGAATTAGTTTTCGGGATATTTTGACCTTTCAGATGCTCACATGTTAACGGGTCATCTGACTGATTATTGGTCACATGTTGTGTGGGACATGACAGTGGACTTTTGTTCATTAAACATGTCTTCACATAATATTGACTTTGGCTATTTCTACAGATGCACACAATTTGACGTATTAGCATTTAAAGTGGTGATCCTTTGAAAACTTTGAGTGGTATATTCTTACCAATACAACTCTTCTATTTGATGTGTTCAGTATCGCATTTTACATTGCCAGAATCGAATATTGACATACCATAGCTATAGGAGTATTGATCGCGGATATATGAGTCATAGCTGTTAAACTCTTATTGAAGATCACGGAATAACGACGAATATTGATACCTTTGTAACTCGTTTATATGTTGTATCGATTTACAACATTTCACATTGCCACAACCGCATTTGCATGTGCTTTGTAACGGACGATAGATATAGGTTGTGCCGTTGTTGGAAGACCACGTTCGTTTTCGAAATATCTACCCCTATTCATACTTGTACCACTCGACTGCCTGATGTGCTCAGTATCGCACTTAACATTGCCAGAACCGAATTGTCGAGGGCTTACAAACATACCATATACATGTTCTGATCCCGATTGCACGGGTTATAACTTTTAAACCATGTCGAAACTTTCGTATATTCCTGTATAATTCAACTATTTGTTCTACCTGATTATACAATGCAAGAGCCTAATTTCCAAGGGCTTTCTATAGATGTGGGTGTTATAGCTTTTACACCAATGTCGGAAGAGCATGGTCGTCCTCGGAATAATTACTGATATTCATGCCTGTGCAACTAGACTATCTAAGGACTTCCCCTCACGCTTTCCATTCCTTAGTATGTACCTACGAAAACAGCATGTTGATTTATGTACATACCCTTGACCGAGATGAGCCACAGCGCAAGAGTTTCTGCAGAAATGGGCTTCCAGACTTCTTGTCATTCAAAATTTGAATTTATGTAATACACCATTACATAAAATCACTAATTACCGATTCATTATAGCAGAGTGAATTACAGCAAGTCATATTGAGCCAAATATACTTATACTACCTACAGCCTGACCCTGCAGTTTTAACGTCTAAGATGTTTTAAAAGAGGTTTAAAACGAACCACGAAAACTACTTGAAAACAATATAGATTTATTCAGAACACATTATATACACAAACCAGAATGGCTGCAATAAGTATAGCACTTTATCACTGGCCAGTCCCTCTCTCACGCGTCATCAGAGCTGGAACAAGAAAGAGTAGGGATAGTTAATCATCAGTGTTTCCGTAGTTTACATTAGCGTTCTGGATTAACGAAGAGTATGTTTGCTTTGTTACGGTCTCCTATGCTTACAGTAATGTCTTGACTGGCCACATCGTCTGCGTCGTCAGGGAGGTCAACCTGGACGAAGTCGCCCTCCGCCAGCATGTAATCACTGCCGTAGCTGCCCAGGGTCTGAAATAATAGTCATGACGTCACATAAATAGGGGTGGTGGCTTTTCGATGGCAGTAAATTGTATATACCATGACTACACTGACTAGATGAAACAGTTTAAGACCATACTCACATCCATAGAAACTGATTTTGACCTCTGGGCACACATGACTGCATGATGTATTGTAGCACAAACATGGCGGCGGTGAATGTGAGTGTAGAAACCGGATTTCTCCAGCATCGACCGGACGGTACCTGGATTGAGACACATACATATATACGTAGTATTAACCCGTAAACATATTCATACTATAGACAAAAATATTTGCAAAAAATAACTGACAATAGTCATGCTAATGTTCAAGTATCAAGTTGTGTAGGTCGTACCTTTACATTCTCCAAGATAGATGTCTATATCTACGTCTTTGTAGGACTGGACAATCTGAAAACAATCATTGGAAATTTGTATTTATGATGCTAGCATGTCTTCACTACGGAATGTGTTGATGTTGTCTCTGTAGGCGAGTATTGTTAGCACTGCATGGTGAATGTGTATTGATAAAGAAACGAAACCGATCTGTCTAATATTTGTATGTATTTACCAACATGCTGATGGCAATACAAATCACAGATATGATGCGACTCACAACTACCAATGTGAAGATTCCACACGTTGATACCCCTTTTAGAAATTATTACAGACAGTTGATAAAAACTATCGACAAACTGCCGATGGACTATTTCAAACCACTGGACATTATGTTTGTTTTAAAATTAAGTATAAAACCCAGTGTTTCGAATACATCGAATGAATGTATATTTAGAGGTTATTAAATGGCAGTTTTCATACCATACCCCAGAGGTCTGATATGGCGGTCTCATGTTGATATGGCGGTCTCGGGCTGATATGGGGGTCTCGGGCTGTTATGGGGCTCTCAGGCTGATATGGGGGTCCCGGGTTGATATGGGGCTCTCAGGCTGATATGGGGGTCTCAGGCTGATATGGGGGTCTCAGGCTGATAGGGGGGTCTCAGGCTGATAGGGGGGTCTCAGGTTGATATGGGGGTCCTGGGTTGATATAGGGCTCTCAAGCTGATATGGGGGTCTCAGGTTGATATTGGCGTCCCGGGTGGATATGGGGGTCTCAGGCTGATATGGGGGCCGAGGGCTGATATGCGGTATGGTATGAAAACTGCCATATAATAAACCTTTTAACATATACTGAACCAAATTAAAAACTTCACAATCCTAAAATTTTAACATTTTGACCAGTTATCTTTGTATAAAACCCAGTGTTTCGAATACATCGAATGTATGTATATTTAAAGGTAATTAAATGGCAGTTTTCATATCATACCCCAGAGGTCTGATATGGGGGTCTCATGTTGATATTGGGGTCTCAGATTGATATGGGGGTCTCGGGCTGATATGGGGGTTCGGGCTGATATGGGGATCTCGGGCTGATATTGGGGTCTTTGGTTGATATGGGGCTCTCAGGCTGATATGGGGGTCTCGGGTTGATATGGCGGTCTCGGGCTGATATGGGGCTCTCAGGCTGATATGGGGGTCTCGGGTTGATATGGGGCTCTCAGGCTGATATGGGGGTCCCGGGTTGATATGGGGCTCTCAGGCTGATATGGGGGTCAGGCTGATATGGGGGTCTCAGGCTGATATGGGGGTCTCAGGTTGATATGGGGGTCTCAGGTTGATATGGGGGTCTCGGGCTGATATGGGGGTCTCAGGTTGATATGGGGGTCCTGGGTTGATATAGGGCTCTCAAGCTGATATGGGGGTCTCAGGTTGATATTGGCGTCCCGGGTTGATATGGGGGTCTCAGGCTGATATGGGGGCCGAGGGCTGATATGCGGTATGGTATGAAAACCGCCATATAATAAACCTTTTAACATATACTGAACCAAATTAAAAACTTCACAATCCTAAAATTTTAACATTTTGACCAGTTATCATTGTGGGCCCTTTTTGTGTATTTAAACAGTAATGGCCACGTATTGTCTTCAGATAACACCCGCTTTTGGTGCAGGTGAATCGATCAAAATCATGTGCACAGCACTATAGTGGCAAAAGTGTTTTTTCACGCGCAACTGGTCACGTGGCCATAATACCGCACGTGTTTTCAGCCATACTTGTTAGCAGTCATTAACAAAAGAAAGATAAACACAAGAAAACAAAAGTCTTTACGGCCATTTGTCATGCCACGCCTTTCAAATGTGCAACGTGAACGTGCCATCGGCATGTTGCAGACGGGAACGTCCGTAGCTGAAGTCGCAAGGACGATGGGTTGTAGTCGACGGACTGTTTATGATTTACAGACGCGTCTACAACAAACGGGTACCACCACTGATCGCCCTCGGCCAGGTCGACCACATGTGACGTCACATGCAGAGGATCGTCAGATTGTCTTACGTCACCTCCGTAACCGATTTTTGACGGCCAAACCAGAAATGAACTGTTTAGGGGTAGACTGAGTGCGCAAACTGTTCGAATCCGTCTGAGAACTGCTCAACTTCAAGCACGACGGCCATACTGCGGGCCGATTCTGACTCAATTACACAGACGTCAACGTCAATTGTGGGCACAGCGACACTTACGATGGACTCAGAGAAATTGGAATCAAGTCGTCTTCAGTGATGAATCCCGATTTAATCTTCGATTTGCTGATGGTAGGACGAGGGTGTGGAGGCGCCGTCATGAACGTTACGTCCAGTGTTGTGTACAGGAAGTTGACAGATTTCGAGGCGGAAGTGTCATTGTGTTGGGTGCTTTCTGTGGCAATGCACGTTCCAGGCTTCTTGTCATCCGTGGCAACCTCAACGCTGCTGTTTACCGCGACCAGGTACTGGCACCAAAACTTCTGCCTTTTATGGCAGCACATGGACCTGGTTTGATCTTCCAACACGACAATGCCAGACCCCACACAGCAGTTTTGACAAGGAATTTCCTTCAGAATGCGGGAGTCAACGTCATGGACTGGCCGTCATGGTCTCCCGACCTCAATCCCATCGAACACGTCTGGGATGCTCTTGGCAGAAGTCTGCGCACTCTCCAGAACCAACCACAGAATTTGCAAGATCTTGGCACCATTTTGCAGCAACAATGGCGTCGTTTTCCCAATCATGTGTTCACAAGCATCACAAGGTCCATGCGGAGGCGTTGTGTGGCAGTTGTCAAGGCACATGGTGGCCATACACGCTACTGAACTTGTGTGCCATCAGATTCTCGTGCTTGGGACTTATGATTTAAACTGTTGATGTTATTACCAAATACCGTAGGTGCTTGGAACAAATTATGGTTACCACCGTTAATTAAAATCCTTCTTTGGACATAAATGATTAAAAATTACCTTCTCTGATACATTTGTCCGTTGTATATCAAATATGGGATAACTTTTAAAAATGTGAAGTTTTTAATTTGACTTAGTATATATCATAACATCAAATTGTAAAATGTATACATTCATAAAACATCCATAAATTCCGTGTATGTCCATGAAAACATGTTCACCTTGTCGGAAGACATTGTCATTGGAAAGATAGACGAGCAGACGACGCACCAAGGGACGCAACTCTAATTTCTTACCACCCAGGCTGATATATATTGATCGCTCATTCAAAATGCATTGACTGGCCATATCAGCCCAGCACTAGGTGTAATACGGGCCTGGTTATTAAACCCCCTGTGATATGACCGTCTCCATGTTGACTCTATCGAACATGCAATATACCTCACATCATTGATGGCAATATGGTAAATATATCTATCACGGGTTACCTCAAACAAGACCTTTACAGTGACCGAGTCGACGTATTGTATGGTGGAGCCGTCAATGACGATGGCATGAATCTCCTCTTTAAGTTCTTCTTTGGCCATGTAAGATTTCGTCTGCTCGTGACCTAACCCTGTACATGGTACATCCGGCCAACTCTTTTGTGCATCCAGGCACACCTGTAATATAATGAGTAGAAGCTCCATATGGTTCTTACGACGAAGTGCCTGTTAATTATTCCAAAATTAAATGAAACGCAGATATAAACTGACGGGGAGTAAGAATGTTTATTCAATTTACAGTCATGCGGTACGTGATCAATGAAATCATAATGAGTAACTTCATAATACGATGATCAGTAAGATCACACAGTATTACTACTCGATTCCCGATTCAATCGACATACACGGGATACTTTGGAACCCATCTGGAATTACCATGGGGCATTGGCACAGACAAAAGTATATTTAACAGATACCTTGAAAACACTGATTATAAAAATTGGTACGCGACTGTAGGGAGTATGTAAGGTTGGTTGGCTGTTTCCATATTCAAGGCTACTGCAAAACAATTCAATTTCACGTCCTTGTTATACTAGAACCATGTTACAGGTTCCGCGCATTACGGAAACATGCATAGAATAATACTGCATGGCCCTTTGTCTGCCCACAGCCCCGATTCGAAGTCCTTGTTTAGGGAGACGGTGTATAGAGTGTACCTGATGGTGTCCCTGACGGTGTATAGAGTGTACCAGGTGGTATCACTGTATAGAGTGTACCTGATGGTGTCCCTGACAGTGTATAGAGCGTACCCGATGGTGTCCCTGACGGTGTATAGAGTGTACCTGATGGTGTCTCTGACAGTGTATAGAGTGTACCAGGTGGTATCACTGTATAGAGTGTATATGATGGTGTCCCTTACGGTGTATAGAGTGTACCAGGTGGTATCACTGTATAGAGTGTACCTGATGGTGTCCCTGACGGTGTATAGAGTGTACCTGATGGTGTCCCTGACAGTGTATAGAGTGTACCCGATGGTGTCCCTGACGGTGTATAAAGTGTACCAGGTGGTATCACTGTATAGAGTGTACCTTACAGTGTCCCTGACGCTGTATAGCGTGTACCCGATGGTGTCCCTGACTGTGAATAGAGTGAATCTGATGGTGTCCCTGACGATGTATAGAGTGTACCTGATGGTGTCCCTGACGGTGTATAGAGTGTACCAGGTGGTATCACTGTATAGAGTGTACCCGATGGTGTCCCTGACGGTGTATAGAGCGTACCAGGTGGTATCACTGTATAAGAGTGTACCTGATGGTGTCCCTGACAGTGTATAGAGTGTACCTGATGGTGTCCCTGACAGTGTATAGAGTGTACCTGATGGTGTCCCTGACGGTGTATAGAGTGTACCTGATGGTGTCCCTGGCGGTGTATAGAGTGTACCTGATGGTGTCCCTGACAGTGTATAGAGTGTACCTGATGGTGTCCCTGACGGTGTATAGAGTGTACCTGATGGTGTCCCTGACAGTGTACAGAGTGTACCTGATGGTGTCCCTGACAGTGTATAGAGTGTACCTGATGGTGTCCCTGACGGTGTATAGAGTGTACCTGATGGTGTCCCTGACAGTGTATAGAGTGTACCTGATGGTGTATAGAGTGTACCTGATGGTGTCCCTGACGGTGTATAGAGTATACCTGATGGTGTCCCTGACAGTGTATAGAGTGTACCTGATGGTGTCCCTGACGGTGTATAGAGTGTACCTGATGGTGTCCCTGACGGTGTATAGAGTGTACCTGATGGTGTCCCTGACAGTGTATAGAGTGTACCTGATGGTGTCCCTGACGGTGTATAGAGTGTACCTGATGGTGTCCCTGACAGTGTATAGAGTGTACCTGATGGTGTCCCTGACAGTGTATAGAGTGTACCTGATGGTGTCCCTGACGGTGTATAGAGTGTACCTGATGGTGTCCCTGACAGTGTATAGAGTGTACCTGATGGTGTCCCTGACAGTGTATAGAGTGTACCTGATGGTGTCCCTGACGGTGTATAGAGTGTACCTGATGGTGTCCCTGACAGTGTATAGAGTGTACCTGATGGTGTCCCTGACGGTGTATAGAGTGTACCTGATGGTGTCCCTGACAGTGTATAGAGTGTACCTGATGGTGTCCCCGACGGTGTATAGAGTGTACCTGATGGTGTCCCTGACGGTGTATAGAGTGTCCCTGATGGTGTCCCTGACGGTGTATAGAGTGTACCTGATGGTGTCCCTGACAGTGTATATAGACTAGGTGTACCTGATGGTTTAAGTGGCGGTGTATAGAGATTTGAGCGTACCTGGTGGTGTCGAAGAATGACGTCGGCCTCCCTCAACCTGTCCTTCTTCCTCTTCAGCTCCTGAGGGTCCAGACCGGTGTCCCTGATCAGTTGGCGGCGGAAGTGTTCCATGTTGGCAAAATACAGAGGTGCCTCGAATCGAAAGATCTTTATACCTGGTATGTCCTTTGCCTGAATAGAGACCATCAGTTTACCCAATTTATATTATGATTCTACGTTTTGCACGTAATGATACGAATACTTGAATGGTTTGCACCACAGAAATACTTACTGTATGTTGTTTATGTATAGCTTAGAGCACAAGGACCTGGTATCTCATCGTTGATCGCCGACCATAAGACACCAGGGTCAAAGTGCTCTAACCTATTTATACCAAGGTACACTTTCAAAGAAAGAAACCTAAAATGGTTAAACAATATTGTTTTTATGACTGTGTTTTGACAGATCTGAAAGAACTCTGTCTCTAACTGTGAGAACACGATGTGAGTCGCTCCTGCGTGATGCACGTAAAATGTGTTCCTGTGCCTATGCCACTTGCATCTTGCATTGGCGACTCTGGTTATGAAAAACACGTCTGGGGCCTATTATGAGCAATCAAAGCTCTGGTAAAGAAAAGAGTAATTTTACGAAAAGTTACCAAAGCACGTTTAATGTAAAGAAAAGAAAATTAATAAATCACAAATACACCCGTTCATAAACGGATTAACTATTCATTTACATATTAGAAAGTGAATATCTCATTTTAAATTTCTTCCATGTCGCTGTGGGACCACCTTCGTCAGCTTCGGTACGGACTTCGCGGGTTCGAATCCCGCTGGCGACACACGTTAAACGTACAATTGTTATATCATCAAGATAACTTAAATGAGAAAAAAGAAGAGTGTTAATCTAAGTATTCAGTTCGTTAGTGCACGGTCAAAGACAAAGGAACCATTATTCAAAATTGTTTATTCCTCTACTCCTTAAACATCCCACAGCATACCTCAAGACGAACACTTTATCGTACATATACTTACACCTGGGTAGACTTTCTTGTCCATGTAAGCCTCGGTTCCAGCCAGGTTGCCTAGCAGACAGGAATAGGCTCTGTAACCCAAGAATCAGATACATACGTAACTATGCCTATACAACACTGTACAATAGTCATTTCTGAATACTTTTCACATCTGTGTTATTCTTCGGAGGACGTAAGAACCTACCTTTGTGTTCTGAGCAACACAGGAACAAGGTTGTAGACGAGCCCCACAAGCAGCCCCAGGTCAACGTCCAGCAACACCGTGGCTACAAACACCACCAGCCACACCGTCTACAAACGAGCCAAACAAAGCAATATTTTAGTGAAAAATAGCCTTGGTGGGATATCCTGGTACATGTTAATGTGTCACTGCAACACAGACGGTAAGATATGCAATGTTTTCTATACACAGATCTGTCAGTCCATCATTTGGCACAGCAACGCGACTTTTTAAATATGTTTTATACGTACAAAATCTATTTTGGAAACCTTCCAAAGTCGTCTGGCTTCAATGATCTGTGTGAACAATCCTTTTAGGGACACCAGAATTATGGCTGCCAAAATGCACTGAAATAAGAAAATAACGGGGTTATTCAAGACCTAGAGCTTAGCTCCTCCAAGAGACAGGCTCACACGCTCTACTTGACAACACACGCAATAATGTTATTCCACTTACGTTAGGCAATGCTTTAAAGAGGGGACCCATAGAGAGGAGAACAATGATGACGAGGCCGCCAGATATTAGGCTTGAAACCTGGAAATAGAAACCAAATATTAACATCATGACATAAACGTGAAACAAATTCCGAGAGGCACCAATCCCGTCCATGAGTAATATCCTGTATAGATACAGAATAGGTTTGTATTCTCCTTTGGAAACCAATGTTGCCGATTGAACATTTGTTGAAGGATGGAGGGTCACCGAGTGTCCACTTACATGCATGTATTCTAGTAATCATAAAGACATATATTGGTTCACCAAGGCACAGAGTAAACAGAATGAGAGAGTGAGTTGTATATCATGCAGTGGTAATCAATATTGTAGCTTCTACATCAAGGCGGCCATCACGTGAGGCAAAGTACGTTTGGTAAACCGTGGGCCTAAGTCAGGATCCTCGTTACACACCGTCAGACTACTTTTACACACTGTCATCGGCCAGACTTCCATCCTTTTTTAATTATGGCTATATGTTTTTCTACCTGTGTCTTCCCACCCACGTTCTCCTGCACCATGCTCCGGGATAAAGAAGCGGAGCTGCAGAATGCCGAGAAAATAGGCCCCAGCACGTTACACATCCCATGCGCCACCAGCTCCTGGAACAGACAGTAGCAGTTTTGCAAAGAGCAGAACATAGAGGATAGTTAATTCTTCTATACAAATATAGATGCTGTGTCTTCACTATGAAGCAAAAAGAAGAAAATTGTTATGGATTGGTGTAAGTGTAGGCTAAGACAGGTTACAAAAAGTGAAGTCTTAAAATTATGTTCTGTAGAATATATGTAACAAACCAGTCCCGGTAAACAATGTTATTTAGAATATATGTAACTAACCAGTCCAGGTAAACAATGTTATTTAGAATATATGTAACCAACCAGTCCCGGTAAACAATGTTATTTCGAATATATGTAACTAACCAGTCCAGGTAAACAATGTTATTTAGAATATATGTAACCAACCAGTCCCGGTAAACAATGTTATTTCGAATATATGTAACTAACCAGTCCAGGTAAACAATGTTATTTAGAATATATGTAACCAACCAGTCCCGGTAAACAATGTTATTTAGAATATATGTAACTAACCAGTCCCGGTAAACAATGTTATTTAGAATATATGTAACTAACCAGTCCCGGTAAACAATGTTATTTAGAATATATGTAACTAACCAGTCCCGGTAAACAATGTTATTTAGAATATATGTAACTAACCAGTCCCGGTAAACAATGTTATTTAGAATATATGTAACTAACCAGTCCCGGTAAACAATGTTATTTAGAATATATGTAACCAACCAGTCCCGGTAAACAATGTTATTTAGAATATATGTAACTAACCATTCCCGGTTCATAATGTTGTTAATATATCAGAGACATGGTCTAAGAATCGCTCCTGAAACGGAGGACGACTTTGCTAAAGAACATGCATTATATTAGAGGCAACATCATATACGCGTAGGCATTTACATTTACAAACCTGGTTTGGGTTTATCTCATAGAAATGTTTATCAGCCAATATTTTAGCCATTGAGAATGAAATTGCAAAGGCTGTAAAACAGATGGCAAACGCCTCTCCAATAAGCTCCGGGAAGAACCTCAGTTTGGTTACGTCTGGTTTGGGCAACCTTGGGTGAGAAAAGGACTATCGTAAGATGGAAAGTCAAGTGTTACTGACACAATTACGATGTATTATGGGACGCCAAGTATTATTGACACAATTACGATGTACGATGGGAAGCCAAGTGTTACTGACACAATTACGATGTATTATGGGAAGCCAAGTGTTATTGACACAAGGGAGATGTACGATGGGAAGCCAATGATTATTGACACGAGGGAGATGTACGATGGGAAGCCAAGTGTTACTGACACAATTACGATGTACGATGGGAAGCCAAGTATTATTGACACAAGGGAGATATACGATGGGAAGCCGAGTGTTACTGACACAATTACGATGTATTATGGGAAGCCAAGTGTTATTGACACAAGGGAGATGTACGATGGGAAGCAAGTATTATTGACACAAGTGAGATGTACGATGGGAAGCCAATGATTATTGACACAAGGGAGATGAACGATGGGAAGCCAAGTGTTCCTGACACAATTACGATGTATTATGGGAAGCCAAGTGTTATTGACACAAGGGAGATGTACGATGGGAAGCCAAGTGTTATTGACACAAGGACGATGTACGATGGGAAGCCAAGTGTTATTGACACAAGGACGATGTACGATAGAAAGCCAAATATTATTGACACAAGGGAGATGTACGATGGAAAGCCAAGTGTTCCTGACACAATTCCGATGTATTATTGGAAGACAAGTGTCCATTGGAAGACAAGTGTTGCTACAAGGGAGATGTATGACGTACGGGAGGCTAAGTGTCATTGACACAAGGGAGATGTTTGATGGGAAGCCAAGTGTTATTGACACAAGGATAATGTATGGTGGCAAGCCAAGTGTTATTGACACAAGGACGATGTATGGTGGCAAGCCAAGGGTCATTGTTACAAGGACGATGTTTGATGGGAAGCCAAGTGTTATTGACACAAGGACAATGTATGGTGGCAAGCCAAGTGTTATTGACACAAGGACGATGTATGATGGCAAGCCAAGTGTCATTGTTACAAGGACGATGTATGGTGGTAAGCCAAGTGTTATTGACACAAGGACGATGTATGGTGGCAAGCCAAGTGTTATTGATACAAGGACGATGTATGGTGGCAAGCCAAGTGTTATTGACACAGGGACGATGTATGGTGGTAAGCCAAGTGTTAGGCTTTACATTTACACATTACTTGTAATTTGATTAACATGATGGAAAGGACTTTCGTGATGTAAATGAATTGGACATTAAAATTGATGAAATGATTCCTAGGTGAAGCATTATGTAGAATAGTGCGCCTTACCCACGGGGAAGTTCGCCGACCACCTCCACGTTAAACTCCGAATTCAGATTCAGAAAGTGGGATAATAATGTCCCGCCTATGATCTGCAAAGTAGAAACAAAAACATTAAACACATCAACTGGCCTATAGATGTCTTAAATGTCCTGTAGCTACTAACTAACGATTCAGCCGACCCCACGAGTATAACTTGAACGATAAACAAGACCTGTTTAAAGCTTCCATTCAGCAATAACCAACCAAACGCCATATTTAATACACTGATATCCCCAACTTTTTCCTTCAAATGACACCCTTAGTTCTGTAAACCTTATCCCTCATAAACTGAGTGAATGTGTACAGAGCGCTGGTTACAGAAAGCGAGAGTGGAATCGCATCAATGGTTAAGGTCAAATGTGCAGCTATTAGGCTCACTTACCACCAATAACTCGATAGGTATTGGAACCTTCATTCTCGGCCTACATGACTTGTTGTTATTGATGCCCTCCTTGATGAAGATAATAGCTAACACAGCTACGATCGTCGCAGTCATCGTCACAAAGTTAATTTGGTCGATGTTGGCAAAGAAATCACGGTATGCCTAGTGACAAAGAAAGATTGATGAATCATCTGACATTCCAACAACAATTAGGGCGAATGATACAGAGCTGTCCACAAATACCCTGAGTGTGGACTCACCATCATGCAGATGATCATCGTTGGAGCTCATACAACACAGTTTTTTTTACAAAGGGAGTGAGTGAATATGTTTTACGCCGCTTTTTGCAATATTACAGCAATATCCAGCAATATATTGCTCAGAGTAACAATGCCTAATAACGCGGTCGACAACAGCTGATATGGGTAAGTTGTAGCAGTTAAATGACTATCGTGTTATGTGTTAAGTGTTTCACTTACGTATATGAGCTTAAATGGTCCGTTGTATCGGCCAATGGTAACACCGAATGCAGACTGGATCTGGCTGGAGAAGACATGGATGGCAGTGCCGGTGGTGAAGCCGCTGATGAGGGGGTCGGACAGGAACGTCGTTAGAAATCCAAGACGGAGCACGCCGAGGAGGACCTGGTGAGAGGCACGCGTCAACAAGAAACTGGTGTTTGTATTCCGATGTTAATGATTGACAACCTGACTCTGAACTCATCCAGCTAATGTACATCGTTCTACTCTGCCACGCCTAATACCTTGCAGTGTTTGCAGCAGCCTGTGAATGTGATGTTGGTCAGATGGATGTCTGTTCTGGAGCAATACTTTATATATAATTAGTGAGTTAAAATTTAACGTTGCATCGGCATTATTTCAGTCATATAGCGACGAGTTGATAAGTGCGTCGAGAATACAAAGACATATTTTGAAGAAAAAAATCATACATAGCTTAACATAATATTATTTACAACTGTCTGAAACACAGACTATAAGCCACTAGCAACCAAAGCTAGGCCACCTCGCCGGGAATCATGGGGACTCCGTTTCCTCCACAATACCCCAGTAGGATTTACGTCATCACTTCAGCTACTGGACAATTGTGCACAATACTAGATAATATTACAAAAATACTCAGCAGTGAGTTGGCTTAAAACACAGGTTGATGATAGTTACATCGATTATGATAGGTATTTCACACAGGGGGCAATCACTTCCCGGTACTACAGCCTCCTGGACAGAGCCTTCAATAATCTATGTTGATAAAAGTATCACACCAAATTTAAAAACAGTCAATTAGTTATTCACATACATGTATATATTTAAAACTTATGATACAGACCATTTTCTTTCATGGTACAGACCATTTTCTTTCAAGTAGCTCTAATGATAGTAACACCATAAGCAATAGTCATTTAAACAAAGACCACGTAAGTAAGGAGTACCTGCATGATTCCCACAGCGAATGTGACGGACATGGCATACGCTACTTTAATCTCCTCCAGGTCCTCCATATGTTTCTGATACACGGGTGATGTCACGTTGGCTTCTATGAGGATGAGCGACATGTTGTTGTTAGGATGCAGCAGTTCCTCTCGACGGAACCTGACGTATCCCCGGTCCACCACGGCTCCCACCATCAGACTGACCACGGCAAATGTTCCTGGTGGATCAAGGCGGCAGTTAGCATCGTTGCCTCTAATGATATATATCTGAACACCTATATACCCAGTGCACCCATCTTTATAACACAAATCGAAAATGTAGAAATGCAGTGACTTATAAATAATTTTTGAAGCAAAAGAAAACATTACATTGAAAAAAAAAACCAGCGTGAAAATTATGGTCTAACAAACAGGCCCAGAGTTTGTGGGGGCCCAGAGTTTGTGAGGGCCCAGAGTTTGACGGCTGGAACTGAGCTCAAGTAACATACGGTAAACTGATGGTTGTTGTTTTGGTCCGTGAGAACAAATGACGTCCTGTATGATCACGTGATTTCCCACTTATAGATTGTTTGTTTGTTGTTTAACGCCACACTCGACAATATTCCAGCTATATTACGGCGGTCCAAAAATAATCGAGTCTTGACCAAACTCCAGTGATTGATATCATGAACATCAATCCACGATTTGGGGATACGATGACATATGCATCAACCAAGTCAGCGAGCCTGACCACCCGATCCCTTTAGTCGCCTCTTACGACAAGCATGGGTAGCTGGAGGCCTATCCTTACCAAGATCTCCCTTATAAGGATATAGTATTACAGTCTATAGTAACTGTGCAAGTGATAGAATCTTACATTTAGCAATGATTTCTAATATTTTCGAGATACTAGAGTAGCCTTAATGTGTGAAAAACGAAAAGAAAAATCTGAGCTGTTATCTGAATGTTAATTGATATCGAATTAACGTCCATCATTCCCATTGCCATGTCAAACAACCTACTGCAGTGTCCATTGAGGGATTACATTAATTGTTTACCTTTTGAGCTGGTTTAACACCCAAACCCCGAATGATGCGACGTGCCACATTCACCTCCTGCGCCTTACTTAATGACTTTCGGGAGTGCATGGCCGAGATGGACAGCTTACATTTATCAACACACTTATTGGTAATGACGAGTTTACTCACCGACAGATATGTGTTTGGAAGATCCAAACAAGAAGTAGATAATGACCGGGTAGAAGGAGGTGTAGAGTCCGTAGACCGGCGGGAGCTGCGTCAGGAGAGCATACGCCATGCCTAGGACAAGAAACAACACTAACGTCAAATGACAGACAGCGACAACACATACGTCGTGGGGTATATGGCAGACAGCGACAACACATACGTCGTGGGGTATATGGCAGACAGCGACAACACATACGTCGTGGGGTATATGGCAGACAGCGACAACACATACGTCGTGGGGTATATGGCAGACAGCGACAACAAACACGTCGTGGGGTATATGGCAGACAGCGACAACACATACGTCGTGGGGTATATGGCAGACAACGACAACAAACACGTCGTGGGGTATATGGCAGACAGCGACAACACATACGTCGTGGGGTATATGGCAGACAGCGACAACACATACGTTGTGGGGTATATGGCAGACAGCGACAACACATACGTCGTGGGGTATATGGCAGACAGCGACAACAAACACGTCGTGGGGTATATGGCAGACAGCGACAACAAACACGTCGTGGGGTATATGGCAGACAGCGACAACACATACGTCGTGGGTTATGTGGCAGACAGCGACAACACATACGTCGTGGGGTATATGGCAGACAGCGACAACACATACGTCGTTGGGTATATGGCAGACAGCGACAACACATACGTCGTGGGTTATGTGGCAGACAGCGACAACACATACGTCGTGGGGTATATGGCAGACAGCGACAACAAACACGTCGTGGGGTATATGGCAGACAGCGACAACACATACGTCGTGGGGTATATGGCAGACTGCGACAACACATACGTCGTGGGGTATATGGCAGACAGCGACAACAAACACGTCGTGGGGTATATGGCAGACAGCGACAACAAACACGCCGTAGGGTATATGGCAGACAGCGACAACACATACGTCGTGGGTAATGTGGCAGACAGCGACAACACATACGTCGTGGGGTATATGGCAGACAGCGACAACACATACGTCGTGGGGTATATGGCAGACAGCGACAACACATACGCCGTGGGATGTGTATACGACAGATAGCGATAACACATACACCGTGGGGTGGGTATACGGCAGACAGCGACAACACACACGCCGTGGGGTGGGTATACGGCAGACAGCGATAACATATACGCCGTGGGGTGGGTATACGGCAGACAGCGACAACACATACGTGGTGGGTTATGTGGCAGACAGCAACAACACACACATGGTGGGGTGGGTATACGGCAGATAGCGATAACACATACGCCGTGGGGTGGGTATACGGCAGACAGCGACAACACATACGTGGTGGGTTATGTGGCAGACAGCAACAACACACACATGGTGGGGTGGGTATACGGCAGACAGCGACAACACATACGCCGTGGGGTGGGTATACGGCCGACAGCGACAACACATACGTGGTGGGTTATGTGGCAGACAGCGACAACACACACGTGGTGGGGTGGGTATACGGCAGACAGCGACAACACGTACGTGGTGGGTTATGTGGCAGACAGCGACAACACACACGCCGTGGGGTGGGTATACGGCAGACAGCGACAACACACACGTGGTGGGGTGGGTATACGGCAGACAGCGACAACACACACGCCGTGGGGTGTGTATACGGCAGACAGCGACAACACACACGTGGTGGGGTGGGTATACGGCAGACAGCGACAACACACACGTGGTTGGGTTGGTATACGGCAGACAGCGACAACACACACGTGGTGGGGTGGGTATACGGCAGACAGCGACAACACATACGCCGTGGGGTGTGTATACGGCAGACAGCGACAACACACACGCCGTGGGGTTGGTATACGGCAGACAGCGACAACACATACGCCGTGGGGTGGGTATACGGCAGATCGGCGGCGAGGATTGTAAACAACCCATAACAGTTATTAAGAATCAAATAGAAATAATCTCAATGTAAACCATATGTTGGGCTTTCTGTATTGACACATTAATATCAAATCGCGAAGCATATAAAATTATACAAGCATAAGTTAAAGGTAACACAATTACGTTCACAGCTAAATCGCCGATGAAAAAACTATGCTTCAGTGTTTTGAATGGTTAACTTATGTACATTGTTCGTATCCCCAATATGTCCCACGTCGACTCGTTTGTCTACGTGTTTTGTATCTGACGACTGTAACAAGGTGAAGATCCCCCGGGACATGTTTTCCTGGTGCGCTAGACAAGGTACTAATACATCATGTTGACACTTCAAATTGTTTGTTGCACGATACATCTTCGCTCGTCACCAGTATTGTTCGTTATTGTGGCTATGCGTCACACACGACACATATCACGGCCTGCAGGGATCTTCATATGGGAGTCGGTAAGGCTTTGCGCTGTGTATAGCTATTTTCCAACAACACCACGATAAGGCATAATAGAAATGTGATGCACACATTGTACCCTATGCACAAACGGGATCAATGTTAGTAGATGAAATTCATGCTTCTGTTTCTGAAGGACGTCGACTTGCGTTCAACGGATCACCTCCACATTCACCTCCTCTAACTAAAACGTCAAAGTAAGAGAGTACCCAGACTCGATCTTATCTGCCGAAACAGATTCCTTTGGGCGTAAAAGTCAGAATAGCAGTTAAAATACTATTAATGGGCCACTGAAAACCAGTGATGACACCAGGTTTGCGAAGTTGTAAGCATGTCCTACCCTACCTGTAGCACCCGCCACTCCAAATAATTTGTATTTAAAACTATATTTTTGTTATCTGACGCCGAAAAGCAGTAGTCCTGCCATGCGACGGTAGCCTGTAGACAATGGAGTTTGGAGCAGACCACCTAGTGACACGATAGCCCATTTACTATTTTTGTTGAATCTAACAACGATATGTTATTTTTTTATATATGTCTGTTGCGTAAAAGTGCAGTGATTCAGCTGCTTACACGTAAAAAGAGTCTCGGCCCAAACGTTTCTTTTGCAGTTGACTATAGATCCCCATTCATATATTGTGGCATAAATTATTATAAACACACATCCTTGCTGTTAAATTAAGGTTCTTATCAAACAGCATTTATGCTATTCGAACAAGTAAATAACGCCGATATCTAAAAGAGAAACGAAAGGAAACAAGCAGCTACAAAGGCAATTACATATACAAATTATTGGACACGACTCACCTTGTGGAATGTGCATTATCCCGACCGTGAGCCCCGCAATGATATCACAGGGAAAGTCGTACAGGCCGCTATATCCCTTCAACAATCTGACGAAGGGGAAGACGTAATGGAGAAAGTTGTAACACGAGGACTTGGAGCAATGGCAGAAGGAACAGGTATCCTTCAGTCTTAAAATAGAACGTTTCAAAATGCCATTTCTCCTCATAGATCCCGCCGATTTCTTCTTCTTCCTGGCCTTGGCTCGCCATTGTGCACCTACGTTGTCTTTGGCGAGTTCCAAGAGCGACGGGGCCGTCTCTTCCCTGTCTCCTCTCCCCTCATCCAGACCCGTGGGAAGATACGCGTACGTGTCTGCTGGGAATATACATTTTTGATAAAGCGGTTATAGAAACTGAACAAAGGCAAAATGGAATAGATGAAATGTCACTGACAAATTCCAAGAAAGGTCAGATCAGCTTAAAACAAATTATGAAGGACAACTGTATTGTTGAACGACCATCCTTTCTACAACAGTAATTGATGTAAGGGCGTACCTGTTGGCATACTTAATATTGGCCGAAACACACAATGGGTTCAGAATAAAACCGAGACACTCCAACACAACATGTATCCGGGCCAGCTGAAGGGAGAAATGTGACGACTGCAACATCGCGCTTGTTTTGTCCTCATTCGCAGGTCACTGTCACGTGACCGTGACAGCTGTCAATCACAAAAGGTGATGTCACAATTACCATCAGGATTGACAGCGATTTATCATGGAGGTTGAAACTAATCCAACCCACATGCGTCATCGTGGCACTTAATTCCGAGTATGATGATATACTAATAATTCATTTGTTTCACTGACTACAAACTACACCAGACAATAATCTATATAGCGATGAGTGTCAACGTGTCCGACACTGCGTGCGCTTGTTATTATTACATTTCTAAATTACAGTGAGTATTGTTTTACGCCGCTTTTAGCAATATTCCAGCAATATCACGGCGGGGGACACCAGAAATGGGCTTCACACATTGTACCCATGTGGGGAATCGAACCCGGGCTTTCGGCGTGACGAGCGGTTGCTTTAACCACTAGGCTACCGCCCCTTCTAAATTATAAATCAAGGCGAAAAACACATATAGCTCACTTGAGTAATACATGACTTGTTAGAAACCGGAGATTAATAAACTAAGGTTCATCGAATTTTAGCGATGGTTTAAAAAGGTTAGGCCACTGAGAGCCCGACGTACTTATCGTTGAATGGGCGACCCTTTAACTTACCATGTCAACGATTAGACACCGGGTGTTGATGGTCTGACATCGTACACTCTTGAAGTGAGGGACAAGGCCTCATATTCTCACGATCGTTATATCAGCAGTATATTCCGACAAGTGATATTTTACTCACTTCCTTCAACACATGCAGATAAAGAAACATTAAACGTTCACACGCAAGCACCGACTGACTGCATAGTATCATTCAGAATATTTTGTTAGCACTAGTTTTTAGACAGATTCGTGACCGGTGCAAAAGATGGGACAATTGTTTCCCGGCCGAACAATGAGTGCTGGTAAACATACGACTTGGACAAACAGAAGTGGGCGGGGAATATGTCCTTTTTAATCAGACATAGTGCTGAATGTCCGATCGGAAAACTTATGACATGCAATTTATAACCCTTATATGGGGCATGTTAATTGTGGGATTGATCGGGTTAAAGAATTTGGTCTGCTGAGTCTTCAAGTGGCATAGAGCTACAGTGCATAAGACACAGAAACAAAGGGAAGTTGCAATTGTGAGTTTTCAAGCACACCCAGCGTTGCTCTTGAAAATGAAATGTTCGTGTCCTCTTTGTTTTTACATTAAATAGTGTATTATAAGCCCATGATGATTGTACAGCACATTTTATATAAATATCTCTTGATTTTGTGCAATAATGTATTCATACGACTGTGTAAAGAACTATATTAAAACGAACCTTATTTTGTTGCTGATACAGCCATGTCGACACAACGAAAGAGATGCATGGCGAAAACTAAAATACCGCAACTTATTTGCCACATTGCACTAACTTGTGTAAGTGTTCACTATTTCGTGATTACATGTATCTTTCGTGTGTTATAAGAGCGCATTGAACCCTTTCCTCGAACAATGGTCCCTTGGGAATGATTGTGTAAAGAATGCTTCCTTACATATCACTGTCCAAGAACTTAGCCATGGAACATGACACGATATAATTCATACTTTTTGCCTGTGTAGTATACCATCAAATTGGCAATTGTGTAATAATAATCGTTTCCGAATCGTGGATATTGTCCGAATAATATTAAGAATATAATGCTTTTTTCACAGACGGTTTTTTCAGACACTTCACAGGTTAATCTTTTGTCTATGAGTGAGTGTCTACGACTATGGTATCTGACACTTCGATAGAGGCATATCACGCTATGAGTGGGGTATATAACACTACTACGACTATGGTATCTGACACTTCGATAGAGGCATGTCACCTACGATTGAGGTATATAACACTACTACGACTATGGTATCTGACACTTCGGTAGAGGCATATCACGCTATGAGTGGGGTATATAACACTACTACGACTATGGTATCTGTCACTTCGATAGAGGCATATCACCTACGATTGAGGTATATAACACTACTACGACTATGGTATCTGACACTTCGGTAGAGGCATATCACGCTATGAGTGGGGTATATAACACTACTACGACTATGGTATCTGACACTTCGATAGAGGTATATCACCTACGATTGAGGTATATAACACTACTACGACTATGGTATCTGTCACTTCGATAGAGGCATATCACCTACGATTGAGGTATATAACACTACTACGACTATGGTATCTGTCACTTCGATAGAAACATATCACGCTATGATTGAGGTATATAACACTACTACGACTATGGTATCTGACACTTCGATAGAAGCATATCACGCTATCATTGAGGTATATAACACTACTACGACTATGGTATCTGTCACTTCGGTAGAGGCATATCACGCTATGAGTGGGGTATTTAACACTACTACGACTATGGTATCTGTCACTTCGATAGAAACATATCACGCTATGATTGAGGTATATAACACTACTACGACTATGGTATCTGACACTTCGATAGAGGCATATCACGCTATGATTGAGGTATATAACACTACTACGACTATGGTATCTGTCACTTCGATAGAGGCATATCACCTACGATTGAGGTATATAACACTACTACGACTGTGGTATCTGTTACTTCGATAGAAACATATCACGCTATGATTGAGGTATATAACACTACTACGACTATGGTATATGACACTTCGGTAGAGGCATATCACGCTATGAGTGGGGTATATAACACTACTACGACTATGGTATCTGTCACTTCGATAGAGGCATATCACCTACGATTGAGGTATATAACACTACTACGACTATGGTATCTGACACTTCGGTAGAGGCATATCACGCTATGAGTGGGGTATATAACACTACTACGACTATGGTATCTGACACTTCGATAGAGGCATATCACGCTATGAGTGGGGTATATAACACTACTACGACTATGGTATCTGACACTTCGATAGAGGCATATCACGCTATGGTTGAGGTATATAACACTGCTACGACTATTGTATCTGACACTTTGATAGAGGCATATCACGTTATGGTTGAGGTATATAACACTACTACGACTATTGTATCTGACACTTCGATAGAGGCATATCAAGCTATGAGTGGAGTATATAACACTACTACGACTATGGCATTTGACGCTTCGATAGAGGCATATCACGCTATGAGTGGGGTTTATGACACTGCAAGTGAGTTAAATAACGCTACCAAAGAGGTAGATGACACTACGAATCATGTATTTAACAACACGAGTGAGATTTATAACGCTACGAGTCAAGTATAAAACGATACGAGATGTGTATATGACACTACGAGTCATGTATTTAACAAAAGCTGGTTTCAGACACGATCATTCGACTAGCGATAATATCTTTGTTCTACTGTCTTTAGCGCAAAAATATCTTCGAAAACCAAAGCATCGTTTTTATGCCGCATTTATTGACTTCTTGAAAGTATTTGATTCCGTTGAAAGAACTTAGTTATTATATCTGCTTTTAAAGAAAAGCATACATGGCAAAATGTTTAAAGTGTTAAAGAATATGCATGAAAATGTTTTTGCTTGTGTTCGTATGGGAAATATTAGAACTGACGCATTTCAGACCTCCAGTGGAGTCCGACAGGGCTGTATGTTAAGCCCATTGTTATTTATATTCTTTATAAACCAACTTACAACCGATTTAGATTATAGTGTAACAAAAGGGATTTTTGTGAATGGGTTTATTGATGAAATCAAAGTGTTGCTGTTTGCGGATGACATGGTCTTAGAAGCGGACTCTGTAATTGAGTTACAGAGAATATTAGATAAATTGGCATCTTTTTGTGATTAGGGTCTGGAAGTTAATATGGATAAATCAAATATAATTGTATTCAGAAATGGTGGTGTTATTAAACGAGTTGAAAAATGGTACTATAAAATACAGAAATGAAAATAGTAACATATTATAAATACTTGGGCATTGTCTTTCATCACGTATTCTGTGGTCTAAGGCCTCTGAAACCCTAGCGACACAGGCAAAAAAAGCATGTTTTCCTATTTTTAAGTTGATTAAGCACTATCCGTACTTGTCATTTAAGGTAATTGTTTCTATATTCGATAGTAAAATAGCTCCGATTGCTTTTTATGGAAGTGAACTTTGGGGATTTACATTTAGAGAAAGTATAGAACATGTACAAAGATCTTTTTTTAAGAAATATTTGTCAATCAGTAATAAAGCATCATCTAATGCGGTTCTTGGTGAAGTTGGCGTTATCATCTAAGTGTTATTTATTTCAGCCGATGTATAAGCTATTGGTGTAGATTGATACGCATGAATTCAAATAGACTTCTACATGCCTGTTATAAAATGCTGAAAGTACAAGATGATATTGGTAGTGTTAATTGGGCATCTCATGTGAAAATGCTTTTGTTTAAATCTGGTTTTTGGTTATGCGTGGATATCGCAGGACTGTGGACATATACATTCTGGAATTAACCAAGAGAAAATGTTTTGACAATGTTGTACAAAACTGGAGTCAAAATATTAACAATTCTGTTATCTTGAACCATTATGCGTCATATAAATCACTATTGAAAACTGAACTCTATTTAACCTCATGCTTTGATAAGGATCTTGTAAGAGTTTTGGCGAAATTTCGATGTTTATCACATGGTTTAAAAGTACAAAAACAGCGCTTTAGCAAACAGTTTATACAACCTGAATTAATTATCTGTGATAATTGTGATTTTACTAGAATTGGAAGATGAATATCATTTTGCACTTGTTTGCCCATATTACGAGAAAAGCAGAGATAGTTTAATTCCTCTTTATTTTCATCATTGTCCATCAAGACAGAAATTTGCCTCCCTGATGTCCCCAAAAATGTTAATTTTATATTGGTTTTGCTCTTTATCGAAAGAGAAATTTGCCAGTTTACCGTTAAGCAGAAGTGTAAAATCTGTATCAAAGATATAGTTTTATTTATAGATATATACTTTTATATTTAGAAATTACGTAATACATTCACATGCCA